AGACAGCAAGGGACCAATGAATAGATACCAAAAAAGAAGAATGTCCACACCTTTATCTCAGCGGTTCTGCCAGGTGTCTGTGGCCGATCCGATCTTTCTCCCACGTGGTCTCACCCAATTGCTTATGCCACAAATTCCCCCAGCTGTGAGCCTTCCAACCTTCTAATTATTCCTTTTTATGTGGTTCAGAGTTCTGGGACCATCCCCTGAACCTGCTTGGTTGGGGATTCTGTGTTGTTGGCGGAGCTCTCTGCTATACGGCCACTCGATCCGCCATCTTGTTTGTTCCTCTGATGATCTTTCTTTGAAGATGTATCTTCTGTCACTCTAGCTGTTCCAGGCTGGTCTGCTTCTCCTTTCTAATGGGAATGCCCCACTTCATAAGGTTCTGGATGGAACTCAGGATTCCATGTAAGGTCCTATACTTGCAAGAGGCCCATTTCACTGGGCAAGTTTTAGAACCCTTTTTAAGGATTTCAGTCAGTTATACGCTTAAGACGGGCTTATGAGTTTTCTGTAATCATGGTTCCCAATATTCCTTTCTAACCCACTCAAGTGCCTATTTTACAGTAGTAGGCAAGGGAAACTAATATTCATAAGGCAGTCAAGCATTTTTGTATTATTTCCCTTCTTCAAGCTATACCTAGAGCCCTGTATCCCAGAGCCCTGTTGTTCCAAGGTTGAGCATGCATCACTATTTACCTCTGTCCCACTAGGCCATACAGATCTGTCTCAGTGTTCCCCTATCTATCTTGTTCTTCCACCTCCTCCCCTTTTTTGTATTGCCCTCTCCAACCCCGAACTAAATCCCCCGCCAAAACTCCATTGTTGTGGTTTCCTTATATTCTATTAATTCTTCATTCTATTTAAGACAGCCTATTTTATCCTGTAGTCTACCTGACCTTCATACCACCTGGTCCTCTGTTCCTGTGTTTATGTTCTTTTACAACGTTGTAATTGTTTTGATCATAGACTGACTTCCCAGATCCTCTGTTCTTACAATTTTATTCTGTTCTTGACTCTTCCATTTGTCAGTTGAGTTCAGGATGATGTTGCCACATATGTCATTCTGTAGTTGTTGTCTGTTCTTGTTGGTTCTCAGTCCACAGAACTACCTTTAGGATGTTTTTCATAGCAGGGTTGGCTTTGGCAAAATCCCTTAGCTTCTGTTTATCTTAGAATGTTTTGATTACACCATCGTATTTGATTGCCACCTCTGCTGGGTAGAGGATTCTTGGGTGGTCATTTTTTTCTTTCAGTGTTTTATATATGTCTCCCCCATTGCCTTCTTGCCTGCATGGTTTCTGTTGAGAGATCCGAACTTAATCTGACTTGCTTGCCTTTTTCTGTTACACTTCTCTTTTATCTAGCTGCTTTCAGGATTCTGGCCTTATCTTTGATTTTGGAGAGCTTGATTATTATATGTCTAGGTGATTTTCTTTTAGGGTCTGTCCTTCCTGGGGTTTGGTGAACTTCTTGAATGCTTATATCTTTTCGCTTTTCAGGATGTTAGGGAAATTTTCTTCCAGAAGCTCTTCAACTGTGTCTTCTGTGGACTTGTGTGATTCTTCCTGTTCCGGAATATAGATAATTCTTAAGTTATTCCTCTTCATGTTGTCCAACATGAATCTTAGGCCTTCTTCAGATTTTTTTTAATAGTTTTTTGTGTTTGCTCTTCTATCTTAGTAGTGTTGAGAGATTTATTTTCTAGCTCACTAGTTCTGGCTTCTATCTCTTTAGTTCTACTCCTTTGCCCTTTTAGTGTATTGTCCATTTCTGATATTCTATTATCAATAGTTTGGACCTCTTTCTGTAGGTTTTGAATTGTTTCCAATGCTGTACCTAACTTTTTTGATTATTCCTATAGTGTTTTCCTGACTTCTTCCTTATCTTTCTCCACTAATGTTTTGATACATTTTATAATCATTTTTCTGAATTCCTTCTCAGGCATTTCTAAAGCCTGCCCATCTGCCAGTATGGAGTGTAGGTCTCCTTCCAGCTCATTTGCCTCAGACACTTTATCTCATTTCTGGACATGTGCTGATAGGATCACTGCTTCTGTTTTTTGGGGTATATTAGACATGTATAGGCTTAAGTTAAAATTTTTGAGTGTTAGCAGGAAGGGGACAGTTCATTTGTATTTTTTATCTTTAAAGTGTATTATGCTTTTCTTTTTGTTTCCAGATGTAAAGTGGGGTAAATTGAGAGATTATCAGGTCCGAGGATTAAATTGGCTCATCTCTTTATATGAGAATGGCATCAATGGTATCCTTGCAGATGAAATGGTATGTGATTTTGTAGGCCATGTTTTGTCATTGAAATGTTTTAGACCATTGTGTTTATAAAAGTTACATAACAAATACATGGTTTTAGTGATTGCATTGTGAAGCTATTAGCAGATTTATCCTGTGTCACACTGATATGTGCAGTTTGCTTAAACTGCATAAGTGATATCTGCATTTGTGAGGAATTTTCCAAAAAATGGAAGAAATTAAAAAAGTATATTTTGAGAAGCAGAGTTTAGACTTAAAATTTTTTTATCCTGTTTATGTAGCTAAAAGTAACAGCTGATAGCAGTTTGACTATTTTATTCATTTCTGTACAACATAATTGAGGTCAACAAATGTTTTCCGGTAGTAAATATCTTTTTCTACGGTGGCAACTCCTTTAGTTCTGTTTCAGACATTCAGAACATTTTAATACTAAATTACCACTTAATACAATTAATGTTTTAAAAAGTTTTTTTGTATTTTTAGTGCTAAAACACGTAATTGCTTGTTAAAAGCATGCGTAAATAAGAAATAGGTTTCAGTTGCAGTTTTGTTGGTGACCTTTGGGGAGTTAGTTAAACTTTCTGGGTCTTATAGGGATGATAATTGTACTTCCATCATAGGCTTACAAAGATTAAATGACAGCAGTTAAAACTGAACACATATTAAGTTCTTTATGATATCTATTACAGATATATAGTGTTTTGTCCTGGTGTGAAAAGCTGTAGAATAAACACTGACTGTTAGCCAGTTCAAACTTACCAGCTTTTCTTTGGAAACCTTATACTTACAGGGTAGATATGAGCTGGAACAGGCTCAACAACACTTAACAACAACAGCAAAGTAACCCTGGAGGTTCTGGCTTAGGCATTGGCTTGATACCTCTAGGTTGGTGGCTGAAAGTCGTCATCTGCACTGTGGGAGAATGATGAAGCTTACCTTTGCCTGTAAAAATTTAGTCTCACATACCCATTATATATGAGTTGGAATTGACTCAGTGGCAGTGTGTTTGGTTTTATATACATGTTGTTATTAGAGTGCTTGTCCAGGAGCAGCTGGTGGGTTTGAACTGCTGACCCTGTGGTTCCAAGTCCAATGATTACTTTATATACATAAGGGGTTAGTATAGATATGGGAAATATTTTGCTTTTGTAGTTTGTTCTTTACTTCATTGTAGTTATTCTGAACGCTTTCAGGGTCTAGGAAAGACTCTTCAAACAATTTCTCTTCTTGGATACATGAAACACTATAGAAACATTCCTGGTCCACATATGGTTTTGGTTCCTAAGTCTACATTACACAACTGGATGAGTGAGTTCAAGAGATGGGTGCCAACACTAAGATCTGTTTGTTTGATAGGAGATAAAGAACAAAGAGTAAGTCTTTATATTTCATGATATTTTTTATAGTAAAAGAACTTGACTTGTGGGGGGGGGAACTGACTGGAGGAGGGCTTGAAAAAAGTTGGTCCTATAATAAACTTGAATTTTTCAAATAGTAATTTATAAAGTCATTTGATGGTTTAGAAATGACTGGGTAAAAGAGACTAATCATCTGTAAGGATATAGTTTGTGTCTTGTTTGGAAATGATTGTGCAATTGAAAAGATCTTTGTTTTTGTTCTAGATGTGTTTTTTTTTTTTTTTTTTAATTTGCACATCTCTTTTATTTCCATTAGAAAAATATTATCTATATAAAATTTTGGTCCACTTCTTCTTTGCCTATGCCATTCAAGTTAAATACTTGAATCTTATTAAAGTGAAAGCAGAATTGTGTGAGAACGAAACATATGTTACACTATTAAATTAGTAGAATTTAATTAGGTCAGTGTGTGTTATTATTTCTCAAGTAGAGTAAATCATATTTCTGCATGCTGTTTCCCTTGTACTTATTTGAGTAACTGTGTAATGAGCAAACCTTCTTCCACATTCAGTGATGTGAGTGTGCACAAATGCTATCTTTATCATTATTAACTGGATTCCTCCTCTAATCTTCAATTCCCCATTATAAGGAATTTCCACAATGATCTTCAGATATTTTAGTTAAATTTCCACTTCAAACATTAATTGTACAGAGTAAGTGTGGATTTAAAAATAGTATAGAAATTCCAGACAAATTAACGTTGGGCCCATTTATAGTCATGCTAAGAAGAGTAGTCCTTGAAAGCTATTGCTTCTATCTCAATGAGGCGCCCTTTGGGCAAAACAGCAACTTGGTAAGCAGGTCTCGCAGGAAAACTACTCTTGAAATACTGTGCGTAGAGTAGACTTCATTGACCGCAGCAAAGTCATTTATGTCAACCAGCAACACAGTTGTCTTTACTACATTACTGAAATCACAGCCTGTCACTTTCAGAATCTCACCCATGTTTGTAAGAGCTTGTTTAGCGTCTTCTACCACCCCTCCTGGTACAAGCTGTCCTTTTGTTAACTAACACAGCTTGACTGCAATGACAGAAATCTGTAGGGACCAATGGCCCCCCTGGGGCTTTCACAGTGCTGATCATCTTTTTGATAAAGAAAGACATGGCTACTCCTTTTGGTCAGTGGAAAGTGCAAAACACTCACTATACCAGCCTCACTCCTCACTGAACTAATCCTCGATGTGTTATTTTTTAAAGAAGTTTTGAGTGTGTGAGGTGGTTGGAAATTTATTAAATTCAGGTTTTTAGATTGGTGTTTATAATGTTATTAATCACAGAATAGTAATTTAAAATTTAGAGAGGAAGTCAATGATAGTAATTGGTGAATTAGTATGATTTTTACCAAAATAAACTGACATGTAGATTGGTTGTCACAAATTCTTTTTTAGAAGACGACATGGAAATAGTGACCATTGAGTTTGCAGCTCAGATTAAAATTAAAGCACTTACTCATGCTGTATCGAAAGACTGTTTCTGTTATTTCATTTTTCCTTTATTTATCTACCAGTAATTCTAGGTTTGCCCCTCTCCTTTTATTCTTTTTAAAGTTATCAAATTGCTTTTGATGATTTGGGCTTCAATGGCTTTAACACTATCTCAGTTTTTTTCACCTTTAGAATGAAAATTTAGAATAGAGCCCATCTCATTGGGAAGGTTATCAGATCAATACTTAAAACTTGAAAGGAATGAAAATGCTACAGCCTTTAGTCCTGTTTTTGTATGTCAGACACTCTTTTCTATTTTGCCTGAACTTGTCTCCTTAGAATTTCAGGATTAAGGTCATTGTAAAAAGAAGACATTTTAAGTTACTACAATTAACTGTTGATATATTTTGATAAGATAACTTTGATGTTTAAATGATTAATGAAGTTAATTTAGAAGGGTAGAGCTGGTTCTAGATGTTTGAATAATATAGCAACTCTAATTCTTTTTAGTATTCCACCCTCTTTTATGAGTCCTGATGTGGTGCTGTAGGAAAAGCATTGGACTGGTTGGTTAGGACTTTTGGCTTTACATTCTACCAAAAGGTTGGAAGTTAAAAATCTACCATCTGTTCTTGTAATACCCTATGCAGGGTCATTATGAGTTTGAACCGACTTGTTGGCACACAATAGCCCTTTTTGCATAATAGATTACTTGTCATCAATATATTTAATGAACAGTTAATTTTTACATAAATTTTTTATTTCCACTTTTGTCATACAGGCTGCTTTTGTCAGAGACGTTTTATTACCAGGAGAATGGGATGTATGTGTAACATCTTATGAGATGCTTATTAAAGAGAAGTCTGTGTTTAAAAAATTTAATTGGAGGTACTTAGTTATAGATGAAGCTCACAGGATCAAAAATGAAAAATCTAAGGTAACTTGATATTTGAATGGGAACATCTTCTTGACAAATGTATGATCACTATGTAGAATATCCTAATGATGAATTTTTTTCTTTTCTTTCAGTTGTCAGAAATAGTGAGGGAATTCAAGACTACAAATAGACTATTATTAACTGGAACACCTCTTCAGAATAATTTGCATGAGCTCTGGTCACTTCTTAACTTTCTGTTGCCAGATGTATTTAACTCAGCTGATGTAAGTATTTCTAATTGTTTTCTGGTTAAAGTTGTGATGTTTTGTCTAGTACCATATATGTTAGCATAGTGGTTACAAATTGGGCTGCTAACCTCAGGGTCAGCAGTTTGAAACTACCAGCTGTTCCGAGAGAGAAAGATAAGGCTTTCTGCTCCTGTGAAGATTTACAGCCTTGGAAACCCTGTATAGGGTCGCTATGAGTCGGAACTGACTTCACAGCACATAACAACAACATGTATGTTTTTAATAGAATTAGCCAGTCATTCAGCACTGTTAGAAATAATGAGTTAATTGTTAATTTTTCATATTTTTTATATAGTTAGCATGGTGTGACCTACTACAATGTCTGTGAATTCTGAAAATTTACTTTGAAATAACTGCTTTATATTAATTTGAAATAATTGTTTCTCTGGAATGGCAGGGTTTTTCATTTTTTATTTCATAGTCACGTTGGCCTCACTGTTTGGTGGCTCTAGGTTGACTGCTTATGTGTTCATGGTGCTGACCAAAGTATTTTGTAACACAATTTGTGAAATTTGTGTCTAATCTGGTAAAATCTGTCAAGCCATTTTTTTTTTTTTTTTA